GGTTGTTGAGAGGATTAAATAACTTCTTGTGTATAAAGCATTTGGGGCAATGGACTCAATAAGCACTCACTAAATGTTAACTGTCATCGTCATCATTATCATTGTCATCTTAATCCACTCAGGCTGCTATAACAAAATACCACAAACTAGGTGGCTTAAACAACAGGAATTCATTTCTCACAGTTCTAGAGGCTAGGGAGTCCGAGATCAAGGTGCCCGCCAATTCAGTTCCCCAGTGAGGGCTCTTCCTGGCTGGCAGATGGCCACCTCCTCCCTGTATCCACACATGATGGAGAGAGAGTGAGCTATTGTCTCTTCTTCTTAGGGGACACTAATAACATTATGGGCATCCCACCCCCATGACCTCACCTAAACCTAATCACCTCCCAAAGGCCCCACCTCCAAATACCATCACAGTGGGGGCAGGGCTTTAACATGAATTTTGGGGGATACAAACATTCACTCCACAAGAGTCATCATCATCGCCGTCATCATCATCATTTGCTCCAGAGGACAAAAAGAGGACAGGTGATTTTGGCAAATAGAAGGAAGAGCTCTGGCAGTTGGAAAAGTCTAACCCAAGAACAAGTGCCCTTTGCAGTTCCTGCCTAGCGTCCGAATGCTCTTTTGGATGACCTTCAAGCTCTGAGTCTGAACACTTGATTGGATAACTTTGGTGTTTTGAATTGTAGCCAGAGTTGTACTTCCATAATTTGGGTGGTTCACAAAATTAGAATATGAGAGTCAAAGGCCCAGTTGTGCATGTTGGCTATGGCCTCTCAGAAAGAGGGTTATTTTCCAGTGCTGGGTATATTTTCTCTGCACGGTGGCCAGAGCAGGTTCTAGCTGCTTTTCAGGGCCATAGGCTGGTACCTGGACTCCGCCACATTATTCTCTGATGGGCAGAATCCACTTGATCATCTGCAAGAGGCTTCAAAGGGAAGAGATCTTTTGCCACATTATGAATTAGCCATATGATGGCTTGAGGTGAGCTGAGGATACTAACCTTAGACAGGCAGCACTGAGCTAAAAAGGATTTAAAGATAACTAAATCAAACACATCGACTATTAATAATTAGTAAATAGAACTGTTGTCAGGAAAGCACCCTGAAAGAATGTCATCCAGGACAGCATTTGATTTGAGGCTGGGTAAAAAAAGAAATCTTAGACTGTTAGAGCTAGAGGAAACCTTGAAGTTATAGTGAAATAATAATGGTGATTATGACGATGGCAGCTGCCAGTTACTAAGTGTCTGTGTGTGCCAGGACCCATGCCATGCATTACCTCCAATTCTTATGAGAGCCCTGCAAAGTCGGTATTATCCCAAGTTTCTAGATGAGAACACTGAGTCTCAGAAATGTTAAACATTAATGTTCAAGGTCATATTTTCAGGAAGGTTTAGGTGCCTGGCTATCTGAATGCAGCTCATTCTCTGACCCACTACACAACCTTTCCTTTAGTCGGTGGCTACCATTTTAAAGTGACAAAATGGAGAGCCAATAGGTGAAGTAACTTAATAGTGAATTTATGTCTATGTTCTATTGGAATTCAGATCTTCTGAATCATTGTCCTGGACTCCTTCTTGATCTGAGTGCTGCGAGGGATACAATGTGAGCCAAATAGAACTCCTCCCCTCAAGGCGTTATGATCTAGGTGGGGCATAAGATGTGTGTATAAATAACCAATGATACGAAGTAGATGAAGGATATCAGAGGCAGAGAAGAGGGCTGGGAGAGTTCAAGGAGGCAAAGACTGTGTTTGGGTTGGAGGAGAATCCATTTTTTGCGTTCATTCACAAATACTTATTGGGCACCCTACGATGCCAGGCACTGTGCTGGAATCATATCAAGGAGGGCACAGAAGAGGTGGCATTTGAGCTGTGCCTTGAAGGATGAATACATGTTAAAATGCCACTGCAGTGTGGATATTGCCAGGACCATTGCAATGGTGAAGGATTCTAGGAGAGGAGGGGAGGAGGGTAAAAAGGAGGGGTGGTTGAAGAGATATGACAAGTTAGTAAACGTGTATTTACAAATTCGTGCCCCGAGTGCCAGGCGGCGTTCTGAGTGCTGAGTTGCAGCTCTTGTAGGTGCTTTAAGACAGTCTCACTGTCTTCGTTAGTTAAAGAAATGCCTTCTGCTCTGTAGAAGGCTCTGAGCTGGATGTGGCATTAGGCTCTGCGACTGAGGCTTTATTTTCTGGGGCAAGATAAATCCTGGGTAAGGGATGGCTGGACCATGGTGTTTCCACCCTCCAGGGCATTCTTCATCACCAGACACCTGAGTAGGTGGTAAAAGAAGACCCATCTATGGAGCCTCTCTCCCTCAATGATGCCACCCCTGGGCAATGGAGAGCTGTCTTCTTTTTTTAAAAAAAAAAACACAATTTGAGATCCTTCAGAGACTCCCATCTCCTTGATATCCTAAAGTTACTGCAAGTGGAGATTCCCAGTCTCCTGCTATCATCGGTTAGGCCTCAAAGGAAAGTGGAAACCTGGAAGTAGCTAAAACCCAGGCTCTCAGCACAGCCCAGGGCTCAATGATAATGGTTAAAAAGATAGCCTTTCTCAGAATTAAAAGTAACATGATATGTTTTTATTTTTCATTTGCTTTTAGCCCAGAAGGCTCTTTCTTGTGGATATATCACTCAAAGTAAGTGCTTTGCACCCTGGTGTCTGGCTCCCACATCCACTCTTGCACCCGCTACAGCCTGTCCACACGGCAGCCAGTGACGGTGCTCAGGCCCAAGGTGGAGGGAAGTGGGTGGATCCCAGGGGATCTGGGCTGTATTCCTCTGGCCCCCAGCCTTGTCTATACAGAGCAATGACTTGTATTTTGCCCTCAGTTCTCATCAAGGGTCGCTTTAAGTAGTGTCATTTGGGGAGCATTCCTGTCTTGCTGATGAAAAGAATCTGGGAGGTACTGTCCATTATTCTGCGCCGTATATATTGTCTAAAGACCTATGCGAGAAATTGCTCTGAGAATAAGAATCAGGAAAACAGTCTGAGTCTCTTGATAAACTAGTGTTTATCTTTTTTAATTATTATTTTTTGAAAAGAAAATGAGAGTCATGTAAACCTTTATCTTCCTATTCTTGGCTTGGTTGCCAGAAAGCTCAGAGCAAAGTATTGTACTTAACTGCTTGTACTTGCCCAGCCTTTGTTTCTGATATAATCTGTCCCCTGGTGTTAAATCCTGGCTTTTATGCTTACGTGCCATGGGACCTTGGCAACTTGCTCAAACCCACTCAGCCAATATCTCAGCTGTGAAATGAAAATAAAGGTAAAACCTTCATTTGGGATGGCCCAGATCATGTGAAAATACATGCCTGCGTGACTAAATCAGTGTTTCTGTTCCCTTTGGGTTTCTTATTCTCATGTTGTTCTGTTTATTGTACCTTTGTATCATGAACTCTCTCAAATGCTTCCAAGAGTAGATGGGCTTTGAAACAGGTTTCTTAACACCATTCTGCCTGTTCACAAATTACCTCCACACCTTATTTGTCCAACTGGAGGGTGCCATGTTCCCTGGCTTCCCCCTCTTTCCCACTCCTCCAGAAGGCCCCCAACTTGAACAGACTCTCACAATGAGAGAGTGGAAACTTTCTCAAGTGGGTGGCTAAAGTGGCTTCTAATTAGTTTCCTGAACTTCTTGTTCAGTGACGCTCAGATTTCCTGAAGCTGTTACTGCTGACCTGTGGGCAACTTGAATTTTTCTCAGGCTGACCTTTGTAGCAACCTGAATTCTGCTAGTTAGCAAAAGAGATGATTCTTGGGAATGTGCATTGGTTTTTCATTAAGACTATAACTTGTTACTGCTATTTCCAACTTACAAAGCTCTTTTATGTATACTAGTTCATCTAGTCTTCAAAATGACTTTCATGCTAGGTTTATTATTAGTAACTACATTTTTTCAGAGGAGAAAGTCAAAATTCAGAGAGGGAAAATGTCCTATTGTAGTCACACAACTAATAAGTGGCAGGTCCAGGACTCAGGTTTATGTATTAATATTAACCCCAGCCACCCCCCACCCACCCTCTTTTCCCCTACTCTCCCTGCCTGGGCTTGCAGGGTGAGCTGAGGGCTGGCAGCTGCCCAAGGGAGGGGAGGCCAAGGGAGCTTCAGTTCTGTCCTCTCTCATTCAGCTACAGTGTTTCACTTCTGTCTGTTTTATGAATTGGCGGTTTTAAATTTTGTTTTTGTTTTTGTTTTAAATGATCTCTACCATAAAAAGAGTTTCAGGACTGCCTCATTTTCTAAAAGTGTTTGTAATCTTTTTCATTTCTTAGAAACCCTGAAATTGGTGACGGCAGCACTCAGAAGGGCTGGTGGTTTCCGAGCTGGTTTAACGACGGGTAATCGGATGGCAGTCTGTGTTTGCCCACCCACCCAGTGCTTGCAGAGAGTCCTCATAAAATGGTTTCGCGTTCATGACCTTCTCAGTCACTCCTCTTCTTGTTGAAATCATATAGGAATCTGTTTTGTGGGTGGGACTAGGACATTTAAGATTCGTTTTGTTTTTGTCCAGTTAACTTGGGGCTGAGGCTTGGGCTGAAGTTTAGATTGCAAGAAAGACAATCATAAACTAAAGTGTTCTTAGGAAAACAGTTATCAAGTTTCTCCCACCCCCTGAAATAACCTGAGGGCTGTTGGGTCATGAAATGGCTAACTGTGCTGACTTGAGAAGGTGACAAGAAAGGTGAATACTGAACCGTTTTATCAAAAGTATGCCTTCACGAACAGACATCTGGTGTCTGGAGCCGTTCTCCAGTCAGTGATTTTGTGCATGCATTTTCTGCCTCAGAACACATTGCCCTGAGACATTCACCAACTGTCCCACCACCAGAGATCGCCTTCCCTGTCTTACCCAGCTTGCTTTCCCTTTGCACTTAGGACCCGCAGTAATCAAGAAGAGGAAGACATAGACAAAGAAAAAAGAAGAGAAAAGGAACAAAGAAAGGAAGATGACGAAGAAGAGCTTCAGCTATGGGACTGGTTTAATCCAAAGTAAGAGAAGAAGCGTCACTTCATGTGCAGTGAATCCGTCACTCGGCGGGAGGTGGCAGAGGCAGTGTAGGCAATAGTGCCATTGAGAATTTTCCTGATTTGGGAGAAAGAATTTTAGTATGTTAGATCTTTAACAGTAGACTTCACATAAGAAACTGAGATCTGGATATTTTGAACCAAATGGATTGAGCAACACAGTGTTTCTGACAGCAGTTGGCCAATGGTAGCAGATGAATCACTAAATATTGGGGCTGGAAGGGGTCTTACGGGCCACAGAGTATTGTGGAAAGCCACAGGATCTGGAGTCAGAGCAAGAAAATTCTCTCTGAGGTTCAGTTAACTCATCTATAAAATGAGAATGATAATAAAAAAAACCTCATGAGGCCATGAATTCATTAATTGAGCAAGTATACAACAAATGTTTATCAAAACTGATGATGTAGGCCAGGCGCGGTGGCTCACGCCTGTAATCCTAGCACTCTGAGAGGCCGAGGTGGGAGGATCATTTGAGCTCAGGAGTTTGAGACCAGCCTGAGCAAGAGTGAGACCCCGTCTCTACTAAAAATAGAAAGAAATTGGCTGGACAACTAAAAATATATAGAAAAAATTAGCCGGGCATGGTGGCGTATTCCTGTAGTCCCACCTACTCGGGAGGCT